TTTATACTACTTGTTATTTCATTGGTATTGTTTAAGAAACCATGGGTTAGTGATGCCTGTGCCACCAGATCTGGAGAGTGGTGAATAGCATTCCTGCCACTGGGTACTTCCTGCTCTTTTCAGTGTCCTTCCTATCATGGGTTGCTTCAGTGTGTTGAATGTGAAATAAATGTGTTATTGTCACTGTATGTGATACTTTGCTTAAGTGGGTATCTTGTGCCTCCTATATTTAAATGTGATGTTTATAAATTTTTTATAAGGCTTTTTTGCCAGGTAACAAAAAGTTTGTGGCTTCAGACTTCTTTGAAATCTTTGAGAGCTGCTGAAGTTTTACTTGGGAGGATATTTTTGACAAATTATGTAGTAAATTGGGCTATCATATTTTTGCTACCATTTCTGTGACATTTCTTCCCACCAGGTCTTCTTGTTCCTAGTTACATTATTTGACTCTTCGACAACTGGATTTTTTCTAGGTAGTTTCTCACAGTTTGAGTCATTGATGCCAGTGACCTTGCTTCATTTATTTCGACTCACGAAAAAATATTTGGCAGTTTATTCACTAAAGCCTATTGAGCAACAGAGGCTACAGGTAATACAAAGTAAATGAAGGATTTCCAGGTCATGAGCTTGTTTCTGGCCAAGCTAGCTACCTTCCTTCTTTAGGAGTACGAGGATAAACTTTGAATCAAGTTACACAATTTAGAACAGTAGTTCATCTGTTTGCTTTTGCATTTGACTGAGCTTTCGAGAGTGTGTGACCAGAAGAAAAACTAGGACTTTTAACTCTGATGTAATGCCTGTTCCGTTGCTTGGTAGCCAGAAGACCATGTTGGCTGTGACTGGATGTGGCAGGGAAATTCTGGTAAGTTACGCAGATGAAGTGCTGCCCTAAGATTAGCAGAAAGGTTAAGGCTAGTTTTGGTTCCTTCTTTCTACACACTATCCATCTGCTTCACAGCTTACTTTGGGAAAAACAAGAACATTGGGTTCCCTTTTATTTCTGTTCTTAACTAGGGTAGACAACTTATTAATATTTGCCTTCTAAGAAAATAGATCCTCACTGCTGCATCATTCCTAGATACTCATGATGATTTTTCTTTTTAAGTAAACTATTGAAAAAACTTCTTAAATATGTCTTACTTAAATCTGGGAAAAATTATTTGTGTATAAGCACATTCAAGTTTTTTCATTGGTTAAGAAAAAAATCATTCCTTTTTCCTTTTTAAAAACAGGTTTATTGAGATATAGTTCATATACCACATATAATTCACCCATTTAAATTGTACAATTCAGTGGTTTTTAGTATATTCACAGTTACATGCAGCCATCACCATAATTAATTTTAGAACAGTTTCATCATCTCAGAAAGAAATCTTGTGCCTTTTAGCTATCACCTTCTACCCCTCAATACCTGCCTCCCACCCCAGCCCCTGGCAACCACTAATCCACTTTCTGTCTCTAGATCTCCCTGTTCTGGACATCTCTGAGTGGAATCAACATAATATGTGGTCTTGTGTGACTATCTTCTTAGTGTAATGTTTTTTAAGGTTTTGTTGTAGCATGTATCAGTACTCATTCTTTTTTATTAAAATTGTGAAAAAATAGGTCGGGTGCAGTGGCTCACGCCTATCTGTAATCCTAGCACTCTGGGAGGCTGAGGTGGGTGGATTGTTTGA